TTTTTTAAGATTTTTTTTGCTCATACCGTTTCATGAATTCCAAAGCCCGTTGGCCTACATCATCTCAAAAAATAGTAAAAATGTATTTTGAGGGCCTAAATCATATTTTTGGGCCAAAATGACCCTCGTGTCATAGCTACGACCAACTTGAGAGCTAAGACATTCAAAGATCGAAGAAAACTTGTGTGATCATAATCGAACAACTAATAAATTAAGTTCAAGATCACATTGTAATAAATTGACATAAGAACTAAATTATATAGAAACCATACTCAAGAAAGGTTGTTGCGGATTCGGTAATCCTTCTTGATAATTGGATAATCATGATGCCTTGTTAGAGGCCAATCTTATTTTAAGTATCGAGAGATAAAAGAATTATCTTTTGATTCTTAATATATTATCAACATATTTAGAAGCCTATTGAGTCATATGAATAAGCTTAATATTGACTCGGATAAAGGGAAGCAAAAAAGTATGAAAGAAAATAAGAATTGAAATAATTGATTTTAATTCTTTAAGCACCGAGAAAATTTTAGAAAAATCATTGTTCAAAATTCAATAGGGATAATTTAGAAAATAGTTTCCTAAATTGACCTCCCTAAAATAACCAACCTAGCTTATTTGTATGATCCATTTAATTACCGAGTCATTAGACCCGATGTGTTGGGCCAATAAGCTTAAGTGAAAGCCTATAAGGAGTATTTTAAATGGAGTGACATTTTTTAGAACTTTTGGAAAAATTTCATCAAACCTAAAAGAGGGTTTATAAAAGAATAAGATGTATCAAGCCGGATAAATCAAGAGAGTGTGAGTTGGTCGAATTTTTCCCTTAGAGAGAAAAAGTGTGCATCTTATAGCAGAAAGAAAGTAGAGCTAGCACTTTTGTTTTTTCGCGCTTCTCTTAGTTGGTGTCTAAGTTCGTATGAATTTTTACTAGAGATAGAACATTTGGATGGTTTAATCTGCTACCTTGTTACTCGCACTTCAAGATGTAATGATCTAAACAATCTCTTTATATAATTATATGATTCAACGGTGATCTTAGGATCTTAGATCGGAGGAAAACAATTTTGTTTTTTATTCTACTCCTCCATATGATGTTTTTTCCTTCACTTTTATCATTTTAGAATTAGTTGTTACCCGTTCGGATATAATATGACCTTAGTATTCCATCCGTGATTGACAAAAGGAACATTTAGATTTCCTTGCAAATAACTTGTTCTCGATAAAACATCTAACACTCTAGCAAGATGTTTAATGCACAATTCTATAGTGGGACTTGTATATCAAGATGTCATAAAAAAAACTAACCGAAATTTCCTTAAATATAGTTCTAGTATTAAATTCATTATTGTTTGGAATGTTACTTGGAGCATTAATCAATCTAAAGGCTATCATTTTGAATTCATGATGTTTTTGTTAAGTTCTAAATATTGTCTTTTTTAAAGCTCCTATAAACATTCGACTTGGTGATAGCTAAACCTTAAGTCAATTTTAAAGAAAACATATGAACTTTATAGCTCATCTAACAAGTCATCAATCAATATGATTGAAATTTTTTTTTATTATCACATTGTTGAGCTATTTGTAATCCATATAGAACCTCCACGTTCCATTTTTCTTCTTAACTAAAATGGATCGCAACTAGGTTCCATGACACCATTCCATAACATTTCTTTGACCATTTTTTTCAATTTCCTCCTTGTATGTACATGAGCTTCAATGAGGTCTAATGTTTACTAGGCTTAGTTGTTAGAATTAAAGGAATTTTTATGTCAAATCTCCTCTTGGGTTGTAAGTTTTTTGGTTCAACAAACACCTCTTCATACTTAAGAAATAAAGCCTTTATCTCTCTATTAGGTACACCTCTTCCGGATCTTCACAAGTTGTAATAGAAAATATCTGAACAACAAATCTATAAATTGCTTCCTTTAATGACTTATGCATCTTTTTAGTTGTCATTTGTTATAGCTCGACCTCCTCGGTACTCTTCTTGAGTTCAATCATTCTATCATCTTTCTTGAATGACACTTTCATATTAATAAAATCAAATAGAATTGGAGAATACATCATAAGCCATTCCACTTCGAGTACCATATCACGACCACTTAATTTCAACTCTTAAATCAACCTTGAATTCATAGCCTTGCATGAACCATATCGATCTTAGACTCTTGGTTTGGTATCTCATAATGTCTTCATTTTCTACTATCACGGAAAGAGTGATGTTGTTTTTATAAGATACTTAAATATTTTTAAGCATATAAGTGCAATAAAAATTGACGGGATACATACCTCCTGCCATGATTGATTAAGTGCTCAAAATATTAATAAAATAAAACTGGATCCGTAAAGAAGAGAGAGCCTTCTAGTCGATGTCAATACTTTAAGGTGTTATGTGTTAATGAAAAACACGGGCTTTACTTACTATTTACATGGCTAGACTAGGGACTCTTTCTTAAACCTAACTTTATACCTCCATCCATCATGGATATGCTTAGTCGACTACTAAAGTTCATTAGGCTCTAACTCTTTAAATTGTCACTTATAGATTTAAAACAAAACATGACACATGGGCCACACTATAGGAATATTTCTCACATTCTCCCACTTGGTCCATATGACACTCCCAAAAATGATAATTTCTTTATAGAGTCTAAAATGATTAGTTAATGGAAACACTCATACTTAGATTAAGAATACAATATATGAATCATAGCGGTCTTGCTTTATGAATGAACTTTCAATAAGTCATTCGAGTCTAACTTAATATATCAAAATGAATATAAAATTAATATTTTATGTGCATAAATCACATCAATCTCTAAGAAAAACTTAAAAAATATCTAGACAATCAATAAAGAAAATAAAGTCAAATAATAAATGAGTTAGAGAGACCCATACGATCCACATGATCTCTATACTTGTTTTGTCGACGATGCTTTAATCATAGGATCCGCAATCATTAACTCGGTGCTAATATGCTCAATGAGCACTTCATGTTCCTTTACTTTTTCTCTCACAATGAGATACTTTATGTTGATATGCTTATTTCGGCTTTCACTTTTATTATTCTTAGAGAAGAAAAGCTGCAGATCAAATTATCATAATAAACTTTACTCGGTCTTGATATAGAATCAACAATTTGTAGATTAGAAATAAAGTTTCTTAACCAAATAGCTCTGTGTCATTGCTTTATAGCATGTAATGAATTCTCGCTTCCATAGTAGATGGAGCAACAATAGTTTACTTAATGCTTCTCCAAGATACAACTCCTCCAATAAGAAGAAAAATTTATCCCGAAGTAAACTTTCTTGTGTTGAATAACCAACCACCTCAAGGTGATTTGTATGTCCGTAAGTCGATCTATAATTCTTGGTTCCTTATAGATATCTCATAACTTTCTTAGCGAGCTTTCCAATGGTCCATTCCGGGATTGCTTTGGAACCTACCTAGCATTCCTACTCGCAAATGTCAAGTCCGGTCTTATACAAACCTATGCATATATCAAACTACCTATTACAAATGCATAAGGAATGTTATTCATCTACTCATTTTTCAATGCATTTTATGGACATTGATTCGCATTTAATTTATCCCTTTTGATAATAGGTGTTACTGCAGATGCACAATTGAACGACTCGAATCTTTCCAAGACTTTTTTCAATGTAGGCTTTTTGAGACTTGTTCTAATATTTTTTGAGATCTCGTCTCTATGAATCTCTATGCCGGACATAAGAGGCTTCACCTAAATCCTTTACATCAAAATTTTGAGAAAGAAATTACTTAGTCTCATAAAGCAAACCTAAGTCATTACATGTAAGCAAAATATCATCTACATATAAGACAAGAAAAATATATTTGCTTCCACTAACTTTAAGATATATACATTGATCAATAATATTTTCAATAAAACCATATGAGATACTAACATTGTGAAACTTAATATACCATTGTCGGGAGGCTTGCTTTAGCCCATATATAGATCTTTTTAGCTTACATATCAAGTGGCTATTTGTATCATCACAAAAAAAACTTCGGGTCGATTCATGTATATCTTTTCGTCCAAATTTTCATTTAAAAATGTTGTTTTCATATCCATCCGATATAGCTCTAAGTCAAAATGAGCTATTAATGCCATTATTATACTAAATGAATCCTTTTTATAGACGGGAGAAAAAGTCTCATGATAGTTTATGTCTTCTTTTGTGTATAACCCCTAGTCATAAGTCTAGCTTTATATCATTCGATATTACTAGAAGAATCTCTTGATTTTATAAACGATTCTGAGATCCCTTTGGTAATTTGACGAGGTCCCAAACTTGATTTTTATGCATAGATTCCATTTCTTCTTTCATGGCATTATACCATAAATTGGAGTTTTCTCGAGCGTTTGCCTAACTAGTCTACTAACTAGTTTGACACATCATCAGTTAGTTACTAATAACTAAACTCAAGCGTTTGCCTACTTCAAGCCAATGCTTATTGTTCCTGCAAACAGAACTACAAAACTTCAACAAAGCTAACGAAATTGAATTACTAGTCTTTAACATATTTCTAGTGTTGCAGACCACAAGTCACATGAAAGTACCATCTTAACCTGTGCTAGCCATTAACGAGAAAGGGAATGGGAGATTTGAAAAGGACCTGTTTTGATTAAACACCTGTCATGCCCACTTATCAAATGATGCTGATTTGAATTGTTTATCCTGTCTGTAATATTTTTCTTTTTGATTAATGTTGCGAGGTTACAAATGTACACCGGTGTCAAATTTTGAGTATATTACAAAACAAGGGAATTTTGACACCTGAATATCACAAGCAATTATGTTCTCTTTTTTTTTCATCTACTACTCATTACATCGATCATTCCCGAGGATTTTAGGTGGCAGTGTAGCATCAAACTTGTAAACCACAGGTTCTTACAGAAAACAAAATCCATAGAGTTGATCCCAAAACTTTTGTTCTTAGACACTAATTTTTTCGAACTAGCTTGTTACTTGTACATCAGAACTCATTAACTCTGCACCACTATAGCATTTTGCAGACATAACTGTAACCTGATAACGCAGCTGCCATTTATCCGCCCCCAAGCTTCCTACTAACGCATTGCACGTTGCATTTGGGTATAAGATACCTGTGAAAGAGGATATCAGCATTACCTGAAGAGTTGACCTCCACCACTGTCAATGACCTGAAAATTTTGTGAAAATCATGCCTCCCACGTTACAAACATTCCTTGCCTTCTACCAGCCTGCTCTGCCATTTTTGCATACTAATATATTAATTAGGATAACCATAAAGTTCCATCAATAACTGGATGTAAAAACTCCAGATACCACAATTGACAAGCTATCTCCAAAGTTTATCTAATTCCTTTATAAGAAGCACATGCTTAAAATAATAGGAAGTAAATACCTCACAGAGCCTTTTTAGTTTTTCCTTTTCAAACTCCGAGGCATAACGAATACAATTTGCGCATGTTGTCAAAAGATGGAACCTCCTATCCTAAAACAAACAGCTAAGATTTACATAGCCAGAACTAACCAGTGTATGGCAACTCTTCAAGAGAAAGAAGAGCTCTAGGATATTGTGTGTTCTACAAATACATACAGGCATCTCCTTCCATTTAGCCATAAAGCCCAGGTGAAAAACAGATGGGCAACACTATATCGTACCAGATGAATTTTACCAAATGAGCTGCCAAAAGAAACTGTCATGGTTTGGTTTTGAACTTCCTCTGTGCTTTCAGATCCAACACAATTACAGTGATGTTGTCCTTGCTTCCTTTCTGAAGGGCACGGTTGGAGAGGTACTCAGCAGCTGCTTGGGCTGCAGGATCAATTCCCTCACCCCTTGAGGAGGGAAGTGTGACACCATTCTTTTTGTGCCAGACAAGTATTCGTTTGCGAGCCAGATCACATGCTTCTTCATTTGACATGACATCCCACAAACCATCACTAGCCAGAATGAGGCATTCATCTTCTTTTGCCCTAGGAATAAACATCACTTCAGGTTCTGGAATAATCCACGGTTTCAAATATCTATCACCTGCAACCCAAAAGCAAGAATGATTCATAAAATTTTAGGCCATATGATCCAGTTATTTTCATAAAGAGAAACTGACAAATATATATGCCCATAGTCAGAAGTCCTTTAACAGACTGGAAAATGATTGAATGTAGCAACACTTTGAGACGATGTTCACACTAACTAGCTGCAGATCCCACCGCATATCTATAACTCAAAAGGATATTTTATTCTTCACAATTGCAGAATGTCATGGGATACACAGGAAAATCACAACAATTATTCCTACAAAATGCAATAGGACCTCCTTTTCCATTTGAGGAATTTTTCAAGAATTGATTGGCAAAAATTTAAAACACAACATTAATGAGAAGGCAGATGCACATGACACTTGCAATGGATAAATTTCCCTCCAAGAAGTTCTATTTCACATCATCAACATTGCCAGTGCACGTTAAAGAGACATCTCAACAAAGTTTTACCAGGGTTGAAATAAACACTCATCAATAGACTTTTACCTAATGTGTAAAAATTTTATATCACACAAGACTGACATGTTACATGCACAAGCATCACTCTCTAAGGCTGAAAACATAAAAAAGATGGTTTCATACAAGAAACAGTCAAATTTCACATGCATCAGTCACCCAAAGTTATATGGATGCAATTTACTTATTTATAAACGTTGTGAGACAAATACCTCACCATCAAAGCATTCACCATCCAAAAATATAAACAAAGCAGGAAAAAGAAAACTTTAACATTGAAAAATTCTGAAGCAGGCATTGATAGATCACTTGTTTATCCTAGCATTACAAACACTAAGTATTTCTATTTACTTGTCTTCAATGGCATGGACAAGAAAATTCTCCGAGACTTGGACATATTCTCTGGAGGTTCCAGCACCTAAAGTTAATCCAAGAATTTTAAGTTTCTGACCACCAAGAACGTCCAAGCATTTCATTGACAGTAAGTACAGAATTGCCATGTCTCTTATGATTATGAACGTGCATCCCCTAAATAGTCACCCATGAAGATCAATGAAAGGGAAATAGACAGCTAAGGTCGAATAGTCATTGGAAGCCCTAGAGCCCTTTTTGAAAATGGATGTGGTCATTTTATGCTTACCTTCAAGATCAACCAATTGGAGCATAACAGTAACTTAGATGCAAAAGAACCCAGATGAGGATATTGCTCACAGACTGCAATGGCTTAATTAGAGGAAGAAACAGATAACAAACACGGTGACAAGAACCTACCAATAGACCTTGACATTGCTAGAACACCAAAGACACGATGCCCATTCCACTGTATGACCTTGCCTCCAGCTGCTTCTATCCTTGCATATTCATCTTCTCGGTTTGGCTAAGATAAAGTTTAACGAGATAATCAAATTAACAAGAATCAGTTTCCCAGTCTATTATTATCATTAAAAGTTATAAGATCCAAGCTTACAGTTCTAGAAGAGACTTACTTTATGATCCACTGATAATGCCACTGGTTCTTTCCCACGACAAAGAACTGCTCGTGAGTCTCCACAGTTTGCTACTATGATGTGGGATGAACAAATAACGGCCACAACAGCAGTAGAACCAACAGTTTCTGCGGCAACCGGTTCAGCACTGGCGTTTCCTCCAACTTCAGCATCTACCTTAAGAAAACAATTGGTGAAAGCTCTTTTCCACTGCTCTTGACAACTATCCTTAATACTTCCATCACCCAGGCCATTCTTAACAAATTCTATCTCCTCAGACAAAGCAGAGTGAATACGGTCACGACAGTAATTTGCCACCTAAACAAAGAAAGCAAGCAGAATGTAAACCAATCACTTCTACAAAGGAAACAGCAACATGATTTGACAGTCGGAATAAAACCAAAGAAGGAAAAAAAAAAAAAAAAGAATGAAATAAAGGATACAAGGATAGCTACCTGCGAGCCTCCATGACCATCATAAACTCCAAACAAATGAGCAGTCTGGTCAGGCAAACACGTGCTCATGCCATCAAGTAATCGGTCGCCAATAAGCATTTGAATAGGAATTTTCAAAAAATAAGGCACAGTAGCAACTGCATCTTCCATCTCCGGTCTCCTTCCACACACAGATGTAAATCCCCAAAGGGGTAAATAGTCCACTTCAAAAACACTTCTTGAGACTGTTCCACTGGTCCTTCTTTCCAGAGTCGACAGAAGTACCACGGCAGATGTCTTTGCATCAGATCCATCTCCAACCTCTTCCTCAACACTTCCTGCCACAGAAAAGGGATCATTCACAATGGCGTCGACATTCGAATCCCTCAAATCTGCTGTCTTGGTAATAACATCAACAACACCAAAGCTCTTTTCAATATCTACAGAACTTGGTGTTCCTACCTCAGAGTTGGCCTCAAAACTCAAGAAATCCTCTCCACATAAGCTACTTGTCTCACTGGCCACTGAAAGAGAACAATAACTATCAAGAATCGGATCACCCTCCAACGACAAAGAATCATCTTCCTCACTTTCCCGTGTTATCACATCATCGCCAACAACCCAATTTCTTTCATTTTCAGAGATCATATCCAACAAAGGGGCTCCTCCTCCTCCCTTGTCCTCTTTTGGAGCTGGCACTGCTGTATCTTTAACTTCATTATCTAAATCACCACACTTACAATCCTTATCCCCAATAGTAGAAACCTTTGTTACATTATCAGATAATAAGCTAGCTGTGTCTGCCATTAAAAGTCTTGTGATATTCATATGGGTATCTATGGATGGACTTTCACAGACTGAATTACGTACTCTAAATGGCACTGCAACCGCCGGATACATCTCCTCCATCAAAATCACTATCTGGGCAGTACAAAAAGTTACCCTCTAACCCCTCCAAGATCACACAGCCTGTCATTATTCAACTAAAATTATCAACCCCTTCACTTATCAAGAATGATTTTGGAATGTGAACAAGAGGTTTTGACGGACCATTTTCCATGCCTTTTAGGAAAAAGTAAAACAAAGTTCAATACTTTAACTAAATCAGGAGGCAAATCCAGTGATGCAAAGATATGGGTGAGCTAAAAGTTACTGAAAGTGAAATGGTTAGTCAGATCTGGTCAACAAGAATGGATCCAAATTTCCATTTGTAGAAATTACAGACTCCAAATAGATGGGCTAGAGCTGTTTATAGCCTCGTTAACTTCTTATCTGGAGTCTTCTCTATCTACCTCCATCAACTACAATGAGAGAGAAACGAACAAGACAGCAACTTTAAATCCACAAAAAATAGAACAGAATTTCAAAAAAAATAAAAAATAAAAAATAAATTGGAAACCAATCCCTTATCTTTAAACACAAGAAAGAGATATAAAAAAGGGGTCATGGGAAAGAACCCAAGAAAACTTAAAGTATCAAGAATCACAAGAAAACCCTAGAAAAGATAGTTACCTTTTCACATATTTACTTAAGAGTTCCCTGGATCTAAGGCAACCCATCTCAGCCTCTTGTAAATTAGCTCTCTTTCTCTCTCTAATAATTGCAAAAATTAATCTTGAAAGCAAGAAAGAAAGTGAAGGTACAGGGGAAACGAGAGAGAGAGAGAGAGAGAGAGAGAGAGAGACTACACTACCTAATTGTTTCAACTGTAAATGAGGCTTTTGCTTTTCACATCTTCTCTTCAAAACCAAGAACCATAAAAAGAATCAAGCAACAAGATATGGAGAGAGTAGTGCTTGCTTACCATTTAAAAAATGTCTCAGAAAAATATGATCAGCTAAAATAAAAAGACTTGCTTTCTTGATTCTTTATTAACCCTCTTTGGACATGTCTTATTTAATAATATCTGGGGGTGCTTAAGACTTGGAAGCTGAAAGAACAAGGTGGTGAGTGGAGAAGAAATGGCAAACAAAACAAAACAAAACAAAAAAATAAAATAAAAAAATAAAGTTCACAAGAGAAAGAAATGGACAGGTGTCAAACCTAGAAGAGCATATTAAAGCATCTCCACCCATCCAATGGCCCCCTTTTCCTTTTCACTTATCTAATCCATCCATCCATCAGTATATAGTTAGTGTCAGTTTTTTTCACCTCATGCACTTTAATGGGCTTCTTCCTCTTTTAATGCATTGACACAGTACCAATATGCTACAATACCATCTTTCGTTTTTTATGATCAAAAGCGACATTTAATTTCTTTAATTCAGATATCTTCTAGGGTTTAAAGTTGGTATCATGATTATTTTATTTTATTTTATATTTTTTTTTGGTGAAAAAGAGGAAATGGTTCTGATCTTTTAAGATGATTGTTATTTGTGTAAAGCGTCAGTGATAATTAGAGATTTATATTATAATTAAATAAACAAGTTTTCTGGACAAAGCAATTCATGCTTCACGTAAACTGGTCAAAACTCATTCATCATACATGTTTTGCCTAATTTCTTGATTGATGGCAGTTTTAAAATTTCTAAATTCTAGATTAAGGAAGGCGATAACTTGCTACCTTAATCTCAAAACAAAATTGTATTTTGTATATTCTTTTATCTATATATAAAAAGATTGTTAGATAAGAGAACAGTTTCGATTGATTGATGTGTTATTTATTTTAAAAATATTTTTACCATAAATTTTAAATTTGCAAAAGAAAAAAACAGTAAGAAAAGCCTTTTATAAATATAAAAATATGAATACCAATGAAAAATTGAAATATATTTAAAATTTGATAGAAAGTAGATTCAATGATGGTATACAAAAGCTATCTCTAAAATAAGCTAAGAGTTATAATAAATTAATAAATAAATAAATAAAATTCCAATGGAGCAGCTTAACTCAAAATCTCAATTCTCAGGTTCAAAAAAATAAAAAACAAAAATCAAAAGGCTACTTTTTAAGGTATCTTCTGTCGAGAATTGAAAACACAAAGTATCTGAGGTGAGGTCATGAAAACATTGATCATTTTTGTCAGCTTATGTGATTATTTTTTACATAGTATTTATTTTTCTTTTCTTTTCCTATAATAGTTCTTATTTTCTGTCGGGATCGGACCGCTAGATAATAAGTTGATCTCCCGTGCCCACTAATAATAATTTGACCACAAACAACCTTAAAATAAGAGGCCTTTGGACGACTTTATTATTATTAGTAGTAGTAGTATATATACATATATATTCTATTCTATTCTTCTATTATAAATTTGGTTGAGCATTTTGTTCTTCTAATCAGTTTTCTTATATTTTGTCAAAAACTTGTGTGTCAAGAGATTAAAAAAAAATTACACATAATAATTTAACAAATGGTAAAAAATAAAAATACAAATAAAAATAAAAATAAAAGGCAAGAAAACGTCCAATTTTGAATATTGAAGAAATTAATTAAATTAAAGATATACACCTTTTATTCCTGCACTTTTAATTTAATTGCTTTGATATTATTTTAATTAAGTTATATAATATATTTTGAATCTTAATTTAATTTATAATTTTAAAATATCCAACTTTCAAAAAAAAAAAAAAGGAAGGAAGAAAGATACTCTACCTAATAATTTCAATTTAGTTTATACTCTTAAAAAGCCAAACCATTTTTTTTCAATTTAAAGGAAAAAGGGTAATACTTTAACTAACAATTTTAGTTTATTTTTTAAAATATTTTTATAATTTATAATTTTGAAGAACCCAATTACCTTATTTTTAATTTAATATCTTGGATATTCAGATCTGAGCCTTTTTTTTTTCATTTTTTTAATTATTGTTTAAATTTTTTTATACCCCGAGGCACAAGTGTTTTGCACTTGGCATTCAATATAAAATATTCGAAAACCTAGGTAAAAATCTTAACGAACTTACGAGTATAAATATATAATTCATATAAAAAAAAATTGAGGATGATAAATCCAGGGAAAATATAAAAAAAAAATACAAGAACAAAACAATAGGGTGATCATTCAGTTTTTTTGTTCGATTTCAATTTTTTTCGATTTTACGTTAACCGAATCCATTAAAAAACAAACCGAAATCGAACCGAATTGAAGTTTGATTATTCGATTAAAAAAAAAATTTGATTTGATTTTTTGGTTAAAACTCGATTTTTTATTTATTTTATTTATCTCTCACAATCACTTATCGCATCCATAAAAGCTATATATAAGCGACTAGTTTCATGGAAACCAATGTGTTATGACTAGCAAAAAGAATTTCGTTAAAATCCCTAGAGCATACCATATACCCATAAAATCCTTAAAATTGCAATAAAAATAAAAATAAAACTTATCAAAATTTCAACCATCACAAATTTATAATCCGGTTTGGCAACCGGGATGTGGCTTGTGGTTGTGGGTGGAGGAGAAAGAGGAGGAAGAAAGCCATGGGAATTGAGTTGAGGACCGGAGTCTCGAGGAGGAGGATGGACAACTCGTCAACTAGAGTCTAAAGCTAGCTTTTGTTTACGGTGGGGTGGATTGGGTGGTGGTAAGAGTTGGGCGGCCATCGATAAGCGAGTTACTAGGTATGACCGATGAGGCTGCGGCGAGAACGGCAAAACGGGGCTATGAGAGCCGAGGAGAACGAATTTAGTTATCGATGATTAGGTTTTTGGTGTTTTGGCAATTTGACTAAAGAAGAGAAGATAATAGAAATTAGGGATTTACTAATTTGGGGGTGACTAGTAAGTCGGTGGTTGTCCTAACTAGTAAGGGATTGTTTGGTTTGCTTTAAAATTTAGTTTTCGAGTGGAAATCAATTTTTTTTTAAAAAAAGAAATGAACCGAAATATTTTTAGTTTTCATTTTTGTTTTGTTTTTTTTTTCAAAATTTTTAAATAAAATTGAATCAAAATTGCTAATTCGGTTCAATTCGATTTAATTTTTCAATTTTAACTGAATAGTGCTCAACCCCACAAAACGTGCCATTAACTAATATTTAAGAAGTACTTGGTTTTCCTTTTGTCTTTTTAGTATTTTGATTTTTTATAATTATATATAATATGTAAATCGTGAACAAAAAAAAAAAATAACAATATGAAAGTTTATCTTCACATCAAGAAATCTTTTGTGAGTCTTGCTCATAAATTAAGTAATGTTTGGTATATAGCTAGAATTAAACAGGATAGAATATGATAACTTAATTTATATATTATAGTATCACCTCAGGATAAAATAATAATAATAAATTATTATTATTTTAAAAGCAGAGATCTAAGCCCTCTAAATGATATCCTGATTGTGACTGCACCATTAGTCCAAGATCCAATGTATATCCAAATGAGTTCAACAAGTTTCAGGAAAATTTCTTAGAATAGAAGATATATATATATTATATCTTGACATCCAGGTACTTGTCATAGCCATATATATATACATATCAGGGCATGCAGTGTAGCAAACTAGATTACGTTAATTACCCAGAAAAGAAAAGGGAAAAGAAACTATATTAGGTTAATTTTCACATGCAATCGCTGACCTCCGGTGATAACAAATTTATAAGGAATTGATTTAGACTAGCTTATATATTAATTTACCTGGATTTGGTATATGAGTAAGACAGGCTGCAAGGTCAGATCATTTTTTTCGTTTTGTTTTTAACCTTTTGAGTGTTATGATAGGTGTACACCTCCTTCTTCAGTGTGACCTAATCTTTACCTAAATTGATTAATCTAAGTGTGTGTGTCTATATATATATATATATATATATAGGTTGGGTTAAGGATACCTTTGACCAAACCCGTTTTTGACATAAAATTTTGTAGATCAAGACGTGTGTGAAATCAAGTTCGATTTTCTTGGTTTCTTTAGTCAAAAGTCATATGATGATTTTTCAACAAAACAAGTGGACAACTGAATTTGATTC